AAAAAAAAAATGCACTCAATATGAAAGCACCTATTGTACCAGAAGCAATTATATAACAACTGTGATTTCTATTAAACCGAGGTTCCTAGATGCACTCCAGGAATATTGGCTCAAAATTGTTGACAACTGACTAGCAATGCTCGAGGCTTTTAAGGTTATTGTAACCCTTTATTATCATCCAGATACCGAAAATGAGTTTTTTCTGCATCTAATTATTCAATAATTCATCTATCTTTGTGCTGATTTAAAAGAAAGAAAAAAAAACTCGAAAATATAAAATATCGGCGTTTATATTTTTTCGTTGCAATGTATAAGCATGGGCAACTCAAAGCTTCAATCGTCAGTTTAACACCTTTCTATTTTGGGGTGAGATAGCAACCGGTATGGGGCGTAACTTCATTCCTGAACGAATTTTTATCACCAAAATTGGTAGAGATAACCAGGAGAGTATCGTCTACAATCACGTGCCGTCATTTTGGTTTAAATGTTTTCTGTTTTTGAGTTATGAGCCCCTAGGTAAAGATTTTGCTTTATCGACGATAAAGCCTGAACCAAGATTTTTATGAAAAATCGCTGGCAGGGTTTTGGAATACTAAATGGTGTCATTAAATCGACTTAAAACGGTGATCGTGGGTGCTCAGGTAAAAGAGAAATTTGAGAAACCGATTTTCCGTTTTTACCCAAAAAATCGTAATTATGACGTCATCCATAAGATGACATGTGTAAATATTAATTAATTTAGTCATTTAACATTGAAGATTCATTTATTACCCTAAAGAATGTATGTAAGGCAGTAAATAAGGAGTTTTGGGCGTAGGGTGACAATATCCTTTAGCTAAAACTGTTTCCTTGGGATATACACAGTGTAACACTGTAGCAACTAAGTCACGAAATAACAACATCTTATGATAGTCATTTCCGATACCAGACAGCTGCGCCGTTGTTTATCAACCCAGATATCAATAGTTTGGGATTGACGTATGCGTTTGTAAGAATAATAAATCATTATTTGAAACTGAAATAATTTCTGATATTCATGACCGCTTTATCAGACTAGACTATAAAGATTGATGCAGTCCTAGTCCGTATTTTACTGGTATTACATCATCTATTGTTAATTGGATATATAGCCTGTCATTTCCAAACAATCCTGGCTTTATTGAGAGAAAGCAAAATCAGATAAGATTTATGGCAATATTTATGACGCAAATGTTGGTAGCATGATTTCACCATTTTGGGACTGTTTCTTTTACGTGCATGCATCAGATCTCGGGTTCAAAAGGTTGCGTTTCAACGGTGGAAAAATAAGCCAGTTATCCAGCATCCGCGTCAATGTTTTTCTTGTAACATTTTGAAATGTCACTGCCAATCACAGTGCATCTGATATTACTAAAGGTGCACTATTACAAGTTGTCTAGACTGTTTACTTAAGAGCAGGTCACCGGTCGCATGGCACAATACACCCACATACAATTAAACCTTCTGAAATTTCTTATCAACATGGCAAAGTCCATTATCAGATAATTATTCTTTTCAGCACCGATGCCAATATTCAGCAGCAAATTGTAACCCATCTACTTCCATGAGAATCGTTAATTATGGCTACCATGGATAGTTTGGACACTGTAAATATCGCATTCACGTCAGTGGCGTCCGTAATGTAACCCGTATAACCTATTTATTGCTATTCCATCTTTGACTGGGGTAAATAGTTATTTCGTAAAAGAATGAATCATATTATATGATTGATAATTCGGCCTTAAGCAAAACCACATTTTATTGAAATGACATATGAAAAAGTGTTTAATGATACATAAATGTATAAATGACAAAATTAACTTTTGAAAAAACACAAGTACCTGTATTGTTTTGAGAATGAAGTAAGTAATTGAGTTTTACAGGAGTTATATAGCCTATTTCCAACGCATTCTTTATTTGACGTTCGTGGATGTGTCTCTTTGAATGACCTTGTGGTAATAAGATAGTAGTATGTTTTGAAGACTGTGTGTGTGAAATAAAGCTAATGTTATGGGTCTTGTACATTTGAAAACTGGGGAAAGTTAAACCTCCAACTCCCAGGGTAACCGAAGATAGTATGGTGGACGCCAAGTAACTTCACTCCCTCCACCCCCCACCCCCCACCCCCCAAAAAAAGAACGGATTGTTAATCATAAATATTAGTCTAAACTTTCGCCTATATGCCACTGTAATTCTAAAAAAAGTTAAGACCCATTGTTAGATATTTTCAGTGTTGCATTAATTTATGGAACTTATATCTAAGTTTTTGTACAGATTTCACTAATAATCAAGACAATTTTCTACGTCCAGCTAAATACTCTCTTTGACAAAATGAAAACACAGATAAAAAGTTTTAAAAAAAGCGAAAGTTTTCTCGATGTTACTTAGGTCTCAAACACTTGAACGAAACCCGTCACATTAATGTCTCCAGCGTTGTTCGTTTAACCGTTAAATTAAAAAACTGAGCAAATCAAGGACAGCACCTTAGGATTTCATTTAAAAGACACGTTTGGCACTTGGGTAGAAATATCAGCTTGTGACATATGTTCGGGTTACTCAAGGGACTTGTGCGCACTGCAGCCAATTGTCTTGATACGGAGACCTCTGTTTAAACAGCTAGTCATGAGAGCTGCTCAGCAAACTAGAAGACATGCTGTCATACGTGAAAAGGAAAGATCAATGTACTTAATTCGTTTTTACTACCAATATGGGAAAGAAGATCGAGAGGCTTCAGTTTAGCGCCAATCTGTAGAGAGTCTCACAGTGCAAAACAAAGCAATACTACCGGACGTCCCTTTCTTACATACTTGCTATTAATAGCATCATTAGTGGTGCGTCGTCTTATAGCTGGTGATTGATGACCGTATTCAGTGCTAGTACAGGTTGTGACACTTCATCAATATAATACCTTCGGTTACAAGATTTTCCTGTAATAACTCCCTGTGAGATTTTTGTTCATAGTATTTTTTTCTTGGGTTAGGAGTTCTAGGACATAACCATTTAAGTCTTATGTTTGATGTTTCTTGA